GGGCAAGGGTGGGACACAGGGAGAGGATGGTGTTTTAGGGTGTGTTTGGGTGAAAGCAGGACGGGGGCACCCATGGAAAGGGGTTTTGGGATGAAGGCAGGAGGGGGCACCCATGGGTGGGGGTGTTCACCCAGGCTGTCTGGGGAATGGGGGTGTATGGGGGTGCCCTGGCAGTGTGCGATTCCCCCCGTGTGTGTCCCCAGACGTGAAGCACTACGCCGTCTTCGTGGGCCATGGCACAAGCCGCCCGGCCGGCCCCGAAGGGGATGGCACCCAGCGCCTCAACATCCAGCGCATCCTCAAGGTCAACCGGACCCTCTTCATTGGGGACAGGTCTGGACCACAGCACCCCAAAGCCTCCGTCCACCGGGGGGGACACCCCTCACCCACCCCAACCCTCTTTACTGGGGAGGCACCCCACCAAAATGGAGAAACTGAGGCACAGAGCCCACTATGGCAGGGCTGTCCTTGCCCTGGTGATGCTCCTTGCCCACCCCAGCACCACAAATCTTTGCGGGGGGGTGGTGGCAGATCCCACAGCCCCCTCACCACACTTCACTGGGGCAGTGCACCCCCAGGGTGGTGACACCTGTGTCCCCTTCCCCAGGGACAACGTCTACCGCGTCAGCCTGGAGCCCAGCGGTGCCAGCGAGATGCGCTACCACCGGGTAAGTGCTGGGGGGCACTGGGGGAAACTGGGGGACACTGAGGTGCCGCTGGCTTCTCCCCAGCCCCACACTGGGTTTTGTGCCCCCCCCAGAAGCTGACGTGGCACTCGAACCAGCATGACATCAGCATCTGCCGGATGAAGGGCAAACACGAGGTACGGAGCGGGGGTCCGCACCCCATGAGAACCCCCTGGGTGGGCAATGAGCACCCTCTGCACCCCATGTCACACAGACAAAGCCATCCTCTGTCCACCCCAGTGTCACCCTCCCTGCCAGCGGTTTTGCCTGCATGATTTATCAGGATAATTGGGTTTGTAATTAATTATTTGGGGGCCGTGAAGCGGAGCAGGCGCAGCCCAGCAGCTGCCAGAAATCCAATTTCCATATCCCATAAATGCCACTATAGGGTGAAAACATCCCCCAAACCAGACCTATGGCAGTGATGGGGGCGTGAGTGGGAGCACCCAGGAGTGGGTGGGGGTGTTTGGGTGCTGGGGGGGGATGGTCCCCTCTCACTGGCACAGGCAGAGTGCCGAAACTTCGTCAAGGTGCTGCTGGTGCGCAACGAGAGCCTGCTCTTCGTCTGCGGCACCAACGCCTTCAACCCCATCTGCGCCAACTACAGTGTGAGTCACCCCCACACCGGGATGGGGACCCCCATGTGTCACCCCCCTGGTGACTGGTGCCACGGGCAGGGGATGCTCCTGCCTCCCCCGGCATCACTCACAGCCCCATCTCGCCCGCTGTAGATGGACACGCTGGAGCCCGTCGGGGACAACATCAGCGGCATGGCCCGGTGTCCCTACGACCCCAAGCACGCCAATGTGGCCCTCTTCACAGGTCAGTGCTGGCATTGCCAGTGCCACACAGGGTGCTGGCCCTGCTGTCCCCTCCCCAGCTGATGTCCCTTTCGTGCAGGAGGGATGCTCTTCACCGCCACCGTCACCGATTTCCTGGCCATCGATGCTGTCATCTACCGCAGCCTGGGGGACAGCCCGACCCTCCGCACTGTCAAACACGACTCCAAATGGTTCAAAGGTGCCTCCTGTGGCATGATGCCACCAGTCCCCATCCCGTTCGGTGCAATCCGGGGACATCCCTGACCCTGCTGCTGTCCTCACAGAGCCCTACTTTGTCCACACCGTGGAGTGGAGGAGCCACGTCTACTTCTTCTTCAGGGAGATCGCCATGGAGTTCAACTACCTGGAGAAGGTGGGAGACACCCCTGCGGTCACCTGAGACACCCAGGATGGGGACAGCGACAGGGGGACGGCCATCGGGGTTGGGTGATGGGTGGTGATGGGTGTCCCCCCCCGCAGGTGGTGGTGTCCCGGGTGGCTCGGGTGTGCAAGAACGACATGGGGGGGTCGCAGCGGGTACTGGAGAAGCAGTGGACCTCCTTCCTGAAGGCCCGGCTCAACTGCTCCGTGCCGGGCGATTCCCATTTCTACTTCAACGTCATCCAAGCCGTGACAGACATCCTGGAGCTGGACGGGCGCCCCGTGGTGCTGGCCGTCTTCTCCACCCCTGCCAACAGGTCAGACCCTCTTGTGCCCCATCGACACCCCTGGTGCTGGGCTGGGGCCCCGTGCACCCCAGTATCTATGGGGGACACGGGATGGCTTGAGGTGTTCACCCCATGCCCGCGTCCCCCCAGCATCCCAGGCTCAGCCGTCTGCGCCTTTGACATGACCCAAGTGGCCGCTGTCTTTGAGGGACGTTTTCGGGAGCAGAAATCACCTGAATCCATCTGGACGCCTGTGCCTGAGGACATGGTGCCCAAGCCTCGGTGAGTGACACACCGTGGGGACAGGGTTGGAGACAGCATGGCTGGGATTGGCATGAAGGGGCATGGGGATTGAGATGGGTACAGGGATGGGGACAGGGACAGCCAGGTCTGATACCTGCAGGGAGGGAGATGGGAGTGCGCGTAAGGTCAAGGACAGGGACAGGGATGGGGACAGGGTCGGAGATGGGGATGGGGACAAGGACAGCCAAGGTTGCTACTTATAGGGAGGGTGATGGGAATGGGGACAGGGACAGGGATGGGGACAAGAACAAGGCTGGCAAGGATTGGTGCTGGCAGGGACAGCGGTGGGGGTGGGGAAAGGGACAGGGATGGAGACAGGGACAGCCAGAGCTGATCCCAGCAGGAAGGGTAGAGAGGATGGAGATGGGGACAGGGACAAGGATGGGGACAGGCAGGGCCAGTACCAGCAGGGCTGGGGACAGGGCTGGGGACAGGGCTGGGGACAGGAACAGTGATATCCAAGGCCAGTACCAGCTGGGATGGGGACAGTGATGGGGACAGGCATGGATGCGGACAGGGATGGGGACATGGAGGGCTGGTAGTGGCAGGTCTGGGGATAGGCAGGGCAGGGGACAGAGCCAGCATGGCCATGGGGACGCTGAGCCGTGCGGCGGCCACAGGCCCGGGTCCTGTGCGTCAAAAGGGGATGCGCTACAACCCCTCCAGCACCTTCCCCGACGAGATCCTCAACTTCGTCAAGACGCACCCGCTGATGGACGAGGCGGTGCCGTCCCTGGGCAACGGGCCCTGGATCCTCCGCACCATGAGCCGGTGAGTGCCCAGGGCAGGATCGGGCTGGGGGGTGGCGCTGGTGGGTATTGGTGGGTACTGGTGGGTACTGGTGGTACTGGTAGGTGCTGGCCAGAGCCTCTTGCACTGCCTTGGCACATGCATGCCAGCGCCAGGAGACCTGATAAATCTCATAAACTTTGCAGCAGAGATTGTCTTGTCCTAATTAAATCTGCCTTAATTGCTGCTTGATGGGGAATTAATCAAGCGGTGCGCTCGGGTCGGAGCATCTCGCTGGCAGGGCATCTGGGGCACGTGCGGGGCTGGGGATGGGGACACAAAGCTGGGGACAGGGACATGGGACTGGGGATGGACACAAGACTGGGGATGGGGACACGGGGATGGGGCTGGGCACATGGGGCTGGGGACATGGGTCTGGGGTTGGGGATATGGAGCTGGGGACAGACACGGGGCTGGGGCTGCGGCTGGGGGAGGGACACGGCTGGGGATGGACATGTGGGGCTGGGGACAGACATGTGGGACTGGGGACAAAAGGCTGGGGACATGGACGTGTAGCTGGGGACGGACACAAGGCTGAGGATGAGGACATGGGGCTGTGGACCAGCACCTGTCTGTTCCCAGGGGATAGGGGGTCCCAGCCCCCTACCCTGCCTCAGTTTCCCCCTTCTTGGGGACACACAGGCTCTGTCATACCCCAATGCCTGCTCTGTTCACACCGTGCAGGTACCAGCTCCGCAAGATCGTGGTGGACAACACAGCGGGGCCGTGGGGCAACCACACTGTGGTCTTTCTGGGCTCCAGCACCGGCACCGTCCTCAAGTTCCTCATCCTGCCCAATGCCAGCACCAGCCCCGCGCCTGCACACCCTGGGAGCCAGAGCGTCTTCCTGGAGGAGTTTGAGACCTATCATCCCGGGAGGTGAGTGCTGGGAGGGAGGGGAGAGGTGGGTGAGGGTGGTCAGGTGGGTGGATGAGTGGGTGAATGGATGGATGAGTGGGTGAGTGGTTGGATGGATGGTTGAGTGGGTGGGCAGGTGGGTGAGAGGGTGGATGGATGGGTGGTTGGGTGGGTGGATGGATGGATGGATGAGTGTTAGAGTGGGTGGTTGGGTGGGGCAATGGATGGATGGGCGAGTGGTTAAGTGGATGGATGGTTGGTTGGATAGTTGGATGGTTGGGTGAGCGGTTGAATGGATGGTTGGGTGAGTGGTTGAATGGATGGTTGGGTGAGTGGTTGGCTGGTTGGTTGGATGGGTGGTTGATTGGTTGGCTGGTTGGGTGGCTGGCTGGCTGGCTGGATGGGTTAGGTGGGTAGATGGATGGTTGGTTGGGTGGGTCAATGGATGGATGGATGAGTGGGTGGGTAAGTGAATGGATGAATGATTGGGTGAGTGGATGGATGGTTGGGTGGGTGGGTAGGTGGGTAGGTGGATGGATGGATGGATGGAGAGCTGGATGGAGCAGGGGTGGTTGGATTGATGGGTGGGTGGATGGATGAGAAATTTAGGGAGGGACTGATTGATGGTTGCATGGGAGGATGAATGGGGTAATTGGGGATGGATGGATGAGATGGATGGATGATTGGAAGAGATGGGTTGGAGGGATGCCAGCAGCGGGTGGATGGGGTGGGGGGCACAGGTGAGATGCCCTCTTCTGACCCATCCTGTGCTAGGGCCGGCTCTGTGGAGCGTGGGCGGGGACCAGAGTGGGAGTCCACGCTGAGCTCTGCCCTGTCCCCAGGTGTGGCCGGGACACAGAGGACGAGC